GTGAATTGAAGTACAATATATCATAAGAACTTTTCTAAATATCACAATGTACCCCCAGTACAATAATTAAAAAAATGGTCCCTTTTAACTTTTTATTTTATGTATTTATTTTTTTTTTTGTAGTGCTGGGGGTTGAACTCAGAGTTTTCTCCTAGCTAGGCAGGCACTCTGCCTCTTGAGCCATTCCAGCAGCCCTTTTTGTGTTGGTTATTTTGAGGTGGGGTTGCATTTTATGCTGGGGCTGACCTGTACCATGATATTCTATTTGTGCTTCCCTGCTTACTTGGGATGACATGTGTGCACCACAGCATCCAGCTCTTGGTTGAGATGGGACCCTGTGAACTTTTTGCCTAGACTAGCCTCCAACCATGATCCTTCTGCTCTCTGCCTCCCAAGTGGCTAGGATTACAGGCATGAGCCATCATGCCCAACGTAATTTTTTGTTTGTTTGTTCACTTTTAGAAACAAGCAGGGAAAGTTGCATATTTAAATTCTTTCATGATCCTACAGTCATAGAACCTGAAGCCCTATACACTTATTTTACAGTTAGAGAAACACATCCAATGAAACCAACTGGCCTAATAGCACATAGCTTGTCATCCTGGAAAAAGAATAGAACCTCTTTACTATTATTGCAATATTTCAATATTCGTATATATATGTATATATAATGTTTTCACTTAAATGGATATGACAGAATATCGTTTTCAGACTGTATTGATAAGGTAATTACCCTTTTTATTCTTCTTTCTCATCTTTGTATTAGATGTATGGAATGCAATGACTTCCCCTCATCTCAGAGAAAGCTTAAAGATGGAGTGTTTCCTGTCCTCAAGTGAACAGCCCTGTTTAGGAGTTGCTACTAATGCTTGTTCTGGATTTGGGGAAAAAAAGCCATCAAGATCTATTATTGAAGAGCAAAATAATAACTTCTAGAATACATAGGTAAATAAGATCAGTGAACAGATTACTGAGACTTGTAGGTAGACTTAGAGGAAGTTGAATAGGAAGTATTTTCAGAGGGTAACTTGGACATTTGAGAACTGGCCATAGGAGGTGCTCAAATGAGAGATGACCTCTTTCCTAGGGAGGGGAAGAGGCATGCAGAGGTGCAGAGAGCATCTTTCAGAAGCCCAGATATCCAATATCCAGTTTGTAACCAGGAGAGGAACTTCCACTAAACTGGGTGTGGATCACTTTGAGTGTTAATAATCCAACAGAGCAACTCATGTGCTCTCTAGCCCCACTGCCAATGCTACCTCAGCCTATCTCACAATGTCCCAGGGGACACATCTGCTTTAAAAAAGGATTGGACCATGCACAGCTAAGCTAGCAGGAGTAGTGAGGTAAAGTAGACACACTCCCCACATCTATATCTAGAAGGACTTAACCTTGAAATCTTAAAGTCCCTGGAACTAAGATGATGGTTTATTAAAGTTCATAGTCTCATTTTTAAAATGTTTAATTTATAAGAATTCAGGACCTTTAAGTCTTTTATGGTTTCTTTCATAAATGGATAAGGAAAATGTAAAAGGAAGTTGCTGTGTCAATTTATAATTTGAGACATTTTATACAATACGTATGTATTTATTATGTATGTGTGTTGTTTCTCTGTCCCTTTGAATAATGTAGCAGAGGACACAATGTGATGCTGAAGAAAGAAAAAAGGCAAATAAATTAACTGCAATGTCTACATGACTAGTGAAATTTCAGGTAACTTTTATTATTTGAAAACCCCAAATATCCTGCTCCAAATGGTTAAATTGTCACATTTTTAAAAAGCCAACAAGTGTACCCTAAAGAATTTCTAAACACAAGGAGAATAGCATTCTAAACTCTGACTTTGTCATTTGTGTCTTTAGATCCCAAAAGATGTTGAAACCTTGAAAAATGGGAGGCTTTTATCTTGCTTTATTTTGTTTTATTTACTTGGGTTTTTTTTTTTTTTTCAGTTTAGAACTGAAGTTACCAAAAGGGAGTGCATCAGTAAAGGAATATGGATTGGCTGAAAGCAAATGAGTAGGAACAAGAAAAAATTAGAAGATACACAAAGAATAAAACAATATAGCAATAAAAATATCCCAGGGATAATTTACCCCCAAATTGAATAGGGCAAAGTTCTACCATATAAGAAGCAAACAGCTATCCTGAAACTTAATTACATTTCAAAGTATTACAGTTACATGAAAGGAACAAAACATTTTTGTTCAATGGTTTGCCTACCAGATGGCATCTCTAAATATAGTAATATAAAACCTTCTATTTGTTCTATAAATAAAGGTGAAAGGAATACCAACAATGTCTAGGTATTTAAATCGGTAGAAAGAGGACTTTGATTAGGTTTGGACAGATTGGCTCATTCTAATAATGATCCTGAATCTGGGAAGGGTCAAGTTCCAAGTGAAACTCCTAATCCTAACCTGCAGGTATCTACCCATATTTATCTATCTATTTAGAGTGGTGTTCATTCAGCTGGAGCAATAAACCAGGAATGAACACCAAAAGATTTGGGAGAAACTAAAGAAACACAGGAATCTTAATAGATGGAGACTATAAAGGGCTATAGTTCAAATTCCAAAAGGACTTAAAAATAAAACAGTTGGGATATGCTCTTGCCTTATTTTTGTGGTCTGGTATATAAATGGCACTTAACAGTTAAATACCTGGAGTCAAACTCAACAGGTAAATCCCGGCTGTACAAATGGCTGGTAAGATTATCTCAAGACAAGTTCTTTACTCATCGAGCCTCATTCCAAAAGCAGATAGTTGTGGTACAGAATTTTATAGGTATTTACTTATGACAGGGTTTGCGACCTTGAAAGTACCATGAATGTCAGCTGTTTATTATTAGTAATATCAAAAATAGTAGTCATAACTATAAAAATATTATGTTCCTGATTTTTTGTTTCGAAAGCATGGGGGGATGAAGAGCAAAGGTTTCTTGGCAGTGAATGGAGTTGTAAGAGGGGCAGTCCCAGCCCTCCCCAGCACATCTCCATGTACCCTCTCCTAGAAGCACCACCCTCTTCTCACCTGGCTCTGAGAGCTACCTGGAATTGGTATGGAGAAGGCAGGGCCAGAGACAGAAGTGCCTTTAAACACTTGCTTATGAGAGCTCAGCCTACCATAGCCTGTCCTCCTCAAAGATAAGCCCACAGATCAGCTGTGGATCTATGGGCTCTAGACAAATGACTCAGTTTCTTTTTAACCTGGTTAGCTAGTGATGTAGCACACTATTCCCACTGACGGTATTGGTGCAACAAGGCTTACCTTGGTAAGTAAACCTTGACAGAAAGCAGTTTAGTCACTCGTGACTAGGGCAAATGTTTGATGCATACTACCGTGGAAGGAAGGCTGGTTTCTAATGGTACTTCAGGTTTCATTGATTGTTTTGTGGATTGTTCTATAAAAGCAATTTTCTGAGGCTTACTAATTTTAGTATTAAATGTCATCTATGTGTAGGCTTTTATGTAAGAAATAATTTCATTTTTTTGGTATCTTTAGAATTTGGTAAAATGTGTATAACTTGACATTTATTTTATTTTATTTATTTTTTTATTGTTTTGTTATTCATATGTGCATACAAGGCTTGGGTCATTTCTCCCCCCTGCCCCACCCCCTCCCTTACCACCCACTCCGCCCCCTCCCTATCCCCCCACCCCCTCAATACCCAGCAGAAACTACTTTGCCCTTATTTCTAATTTTGTTGAAGAGAGAGTATAAGCAATAATAGGAAGGAACAAGTGTTTTTGCTGGTTGAGATAAGGATAGCTATACAGGGAGTTGACTCACATTAATTGACATTTATTTTAAAGGGTACAGTTCAGTGATGTTAAGTACAGTAACAATGTTGTGCAACCATCAACCCACTATTTCCAGAAAGTTCCCAATACTCCAAACAGAAACTAAACACTTATTTAACAACGTTCCATTTCCCTTTCCCCCTTAGCCCCTGGCAAGCACTCTTCTCTTCTCTGTCTCTATGAATTTGCTTATTCTAGACAACTCATAAAAACCAGACAATATTTGTCTTTTTGTACCTGGCTTATTTCACTAACATAATATTTTCAAAGTTGATCTATGCTGTAGCATGAATCAGAATTTCATTCCATTTTAAGGCTGAATAATATTCAATTATAAATACACGTATATATGAATATGTATTCAATTACACATACATAATTGAACGTTACTCAGTCGTATATATAACAAAATATTTTGTATACGTACACACACACACATATATACGTATATAAAAAATATTTTGTTTCTCCATTAACCTGTAGATGGATGTTTGCATTGTTCCATCTTTTGACTATTGTGAAAAGCACTGCTATGAATATTGGTGCAGTACTATTTGAGTTCCTACTTCTATTTCTTTTGGGATATAGCTAGCAGTAGAATTGTTGGCTCATATTATAATCCCATGTTTAACTTTCGGAGGAGCCACTAACTCGTTTCTACAGCTGCCCCATCAGTAATGCACAGGGCCTCTGGCTTCTGCACATCTTCACCAATATTTCTTTTCCACATTTTAGATAAGAGTCATCCTAAGGGATGTAAAGTTCTATCACATTCAATTAGATTTGCTTTGTTAACTAGTTCAGAAAAAAAAGAAGACACAAGGAAGAATTACTATATGATTTATCCTGTATGCAAAAACCGTGGAACATTTGGGGGCCGTCCCAAAGTGTAAAGGTAAAATATAAATATCTGTTAAACTTTGAACCCAGTAACACGAATATTTCTCTTAAGAAGGAAATCCTGAACGAAGCATATCCGTGAGCCATTACAGCAGCTCACGGGAGGCTGACACCTGTGCAAGGCCTTTCTTAGCAAAACCACACTTAGCACAAGCTAGGCCTGCCTGAGTGCGGGAAAGCCCCCACAGCGCATGCGCGCGACGAGGCGCGCTCCCGGGTGCTTGCTTGCGTGCGCGGTCCCGCGGCGTCGGCGGAGGGGCGGGGCCCGCAGGGCCGCGTGACGCTAGGGCCGGGTCCTGGTGATGGCGGCGGCGTCCGGCTCAGTTCGCCTGCAGCGTTGCGTGGTGTCGCCGGCTGGGAGGCATACCGCCTCACTCATCTTCCTGCATGGCTCAGGTGGATTGCAGTTTTTGCGTCTTAGTTTTCTACAGCTTGGGGACATTCTCCCCTCGGTGACCCCAGTGTTTCCCTGTGGAGAAGGCGCCGGGCCCAGCTCCCCTCCTAGCCCCTGTCCCCGCGGGCCCTCTCGGTTTTCCTCTTTCTCTCCTGCAGTCATAGGCCATCCCTCTCCCTTCTGTCCACCGTGACCTGGCCGGTCCTCCATGCTCAACGTTCCTTCCCATGCAGCCCTTACCACCCCCTCTGCCCTCCCCAAGTTTAGTAAGGTAGGTCTGTGTAGTTAGATAAGTCTTCTGCTAGGCATGCAGATTACTTAGCACCTTCAAGGGTCAGCTACCAGAGATTTGAGTTCTCCGTACCCCCCCCCCGCCCCGCAGTGAATTATTTGCCGTTGCTGTCTTGCTGCAGTCTCTCCTACTAATGCAGACAGTTACGATTCACAGTCACTTAGGTGTTATTTACTGAGTACCTCCTCTCTGTGTGGCACTGTGCCAGGCTCCAGGGCTTTCCCCCTTTCCTTTTCCCTCTCCTCTTTTCTGTATTCCTGTTTCTCCCTCTGGCATTAAGCACAATGTCAGCTCTGAGCCCCAGGGGCAGGTATTGCTCTTCTGCCTGCCTTTTGGCCCTTCCTTCTGTGTAACTTTTCTTACTCATCAGTAATTGCTTACGTCTTTCTTCCTCACTGGGTTTTGAGCGCCTCCACAGTAAGGATCCTTGTATTAATTTTTGCATCAACAGTGCTTGACCTAGGGTAAGTTCTCAGGATTCCCTAACCACCCCCAGAGGAATGAGATGCAGCCAGTGTCCTCAGGGGGCCTACCTAAATTTAAAAACAAAAACAATTCTATTAATCTGAGTCACCAGTGCATGGGAGATCACAAGATGGTGCATGACTTACTGCCAAGTGAATAGTAAGGAAAGAAAGAACTGTGGTTAGGCAGTATTAAAGCATTTGGAAGATGAAGAACTTGTCAGATTTTTCAAGAAAGTAGTGTTTGAGCTGAGACATGTGAAGACTTAAAGGGGATGGTGATTGGAAAGATACAGGGTTGAGGGCAGTAGTGTGAGATAGTCTCTTCATTTTGAAAATGAGCCAGATAGGCTCAACAGCTTCTCCAAGTTTGCTTGGCTATGGCTGTGAGTCCTGGTGAAGTGAAGATTTGAATCCAGGTCTTTCAGAATCCAAAAATCAGCATTCTGGGGGGGAAAGGCCGAAAAACCTTGCACTAGGATGTGTCATTTTTGGAAATGGGAAAGAAAAGGGCCAGTGAAGTTTAAAGGGAAAGACTTGACTGATGAAATACATTTAGAAGGTGAGATGTCCTAGATGACAGCAGTACTTTAGAACTAGAAGACTAATGTACTATTCAGATCTCCAAGGGTGTTCATTGATAAAAATCCAGAAATTCCCCAGTACTATACGCCGTCTCATAAATAAGTTAATCAGTTCACAGGATCTTTAGAAATAACTTTTAGATTTTATGTTTTTTTTCCTGGGGGCCACTATGCCTGTCTATCCTTACTCTTTAGTTTCAAATTACCAATATTTTTATAATGCATGTTTTGAAACCCAACTTCATGTTATAAATATATTTTTTTCATTTTTTATTTTGAACAAAGAATTGATCCAAATCTACCAATTTTGCACAAATTATGGGATTCTTACATATATTAAATTTCCACTGAGTATATAAAAGTTACTGGGAATAGGCCTTTATCACACAGGTAAGAGGCTAATAATTTTCCATTAGACGTTAATATATGTGTCCATTATATAGGAGTTACAGTAGTGGTACCATACTTTTGGAATAAGGTGCTGGCTTTTTAAGAAGTGGACTTGGTGAATGGATGTTATTTTGTAGTATTCTTTGTTTTCAAGACAACTCTTTTATAGCTCTTCTTAAAAAATCTTAAAAGCTTGAGATTTTCTTCTAGGACATAGTAGGTATAGAAAAGCATACGGAATTGTCTGTTGTAAATTTCCAACTTAATTTGAGCCGTTCATACCTCTAAAATACTAAGAAAGTACCTTCTTTTGGATTATAAAAATAAATAGTAGTTTCATTAGCTTTATTTAGTCTCCCAGATGAGGTTAATTCACTCTGCTGTTTGTTCCCTTGGGACACTGTTTCTTCTTTCAGTGGTATTCATCATACTTGTAGTTACCTAGTTTATTGTCTGTGTTTCTCACTAAACAGTGACGTTCATGAAGCTCAAAACCATGTGTGTCTTGTTTATGGCTTTATCCCCATGTAGTAAGTCATTATGATTTGACTAAGTTGAGTCTTGCTGAAGTCACCAGTAACTCCTGTGTTGCTAAATGTCATGGACATTTTTCTACTAAATCTTTCTCATATTTGAACCTCATATTCCTCTTTCCACCTGTTTTCTCTGTTTGGTTTTATTTTCAGATTCATCCTTCTTTGCCTGGCCATTAATGATAGGATTTCTCAAAATCCGATCTTAGGTCTTTTCTTCTCACAACATTTTTCTACTCAGGGTAAATCCTATTCCAGCTCATAGATTCTATTCTTATGTACTGGTGATGTAAATGTATGTCTCTATTTTGGACCTCCTTTGAATTCTGAACGTGCTTATCTTCTGACAAGTATTCACTCATTCAAGAAATGTCTCACTTGGCCGCTAAATGCAAGATACCGGTCTAGGCTCTGAGCATAAAGTGATGTAAACAAACAAAAATCCTTGCTTTCATAGAGGAAATAAATAACATAGTAGAAGATATTAAGTTCCTTGGGGGGAAAAAGGCAGGATAAAGGGAACAGGACAGGAGGAGTGAGGTGTTTCAATTTCACAAAGGTAGTTAGAGTAGGCCTTACTGGGAAAATGATGCTTAAGCAGCTGGATTTAGGTGAGAGAATTATGTGGATATTGTGTTAGACTGTTCTAGACAAGGGGAAAGTCAAAACAAAGGCCCTGATGTAGGTTTCCTGACATGTTGAAGAAACAGCAGTAAGGATAGTAAGCCTGGGATGAGAAGAGTAGGAGAAGATACGCAAGGGGGCCTGATACCCAGTGGTATAGTGTAGTTCTCTAACCTCTTTCTCTCCCTTCTTTCCTCCCAGTAGTGTAGGGCAGTCTCCCTCTCTCTCTCTCTCTCTCTCTCTCTCTCTCTCTCTCTCTCTCTCTCTGTGTCTCTGTGTGTGTGTGTGTGTGTGTGTGTGTTACACATAATATCTAATACACATACACACACACATATATTTGTCTCTTTTTCTAATGACTCTTTAAAAGTGTGAAATTCATTCTTAGCTCATGGTCCTTAAGTACTTCAGGCTGCATTTTGTCCTCCCCTCTGGCTGTCCATCCATACTTTGCCCAACCAGCCCCTGGTATGAAGTGGTTGTTCGCTCAGTGGCTCTGACCAAAAACCTAGCAGTCATCCTTGAAATTTGTCAAAATTCACCCAATAGGCATATCAAATCAGTTTCTGTTATTTTACTTCATAAATAGCTCTAGTATTGATTTCTGTTTGTACTGCTACCAACCCTTGTCTAAGGGTCTGTCACCTGAACAGTAGTAACCTCCTAACTGATCTCCCCACGTCTACACTGGTTCTCTTTCAGTTCTGTCCTCATACAACTTCCAGAGTGGTCCTTTAAAATCATGCCTCCTTTCTGTCAAAAATACGTGTGCTCTGCCATGCTTTTAGGATTTGTCAAGTTCTTTCTTATCTTGCAGACACTTCCAGTTTCTCTACCACCATGCTATATTCACAGCTCCTCTCATTCTCTGCTCTTCAATTCTTTGTTGTCATTCACTTCCCCTCTTGTCCTGGTCTTAGCATTTGCCCTTTCCTCTGTTTCAGATGCTCTTTCCTTCTGGCTTTACTTTTCACCCTTCTGGAGATTTTACTTTGTGCCATTCAGCAACTCTATTGGATGCCCAGTTTGTCAGTGCTGTTCTAGGTAGTACCTAGACATACGACCCTATGGTTAAAGTGAATTTTGCCTTGGGGAGCTTATCATCTAGTGAAGTTGCCCTTGAATTCATTAACTAGACCCATTGTGAATATTATAAATCCTTAGAGCACCAGGAGCCTCATTTTTGCAGTGGTTACTTTTGTCTTTCACATTTATTTTGTAATTACTTGACTAATGCCTGTTTATCATAATAAACCATGTTCCCCATCAACGCTGTACCAGCAGTGAACAGTGTCTGCCCATTAAATTATTCAACAGATAATTTTTGAGTTGATATCTTACTGAGTTGATTGCTTAAAAAATTTAAGTTGTGACCTTCAAAATTTCCTCCTCAGGAAGTTTCTTATGTATCATCTTATATATAAGATGAAAAACTATGTTTAATTCCTTTCTTCTGTGTACAAATATGTGTACATTCTTGCATGAGCTTTGATGATTTTTCAGCCTTGGAGTATAAAATGATTTTAGGTAATATAAATGACATCAAAATAAAATTCTGATTTCTTCTAGTTAAAAACAACCCTTTGAAGAGCTGTTACTGTTTTAACCAAGAAAATTGTATTAGGTCGTTCTAACTTCAAAAATTTAACAGTCTCATTAGGAATTTTATTTTTTAAGAGTAAGGTAAGAAATAACATTGGGTGCTGTGGCTCAAGCCTGCAATCCTAGCTACTCAGGAGGCAAGGATCAGGATAACCTGGTTCAAGACAGTATGATATAAAGTGAGACCGTATCCCACTTTTGATCCCCAAATTAGCAAGATCGCGTCTCAACCAATAGCTGGACGCCATGGCTCACCTGTTATCCCCATCTATGCAGGGAAGCACAAATAGGTGGATCACAGTCCAGGTCAGCTCAGACAAAGTGAGACCCTATTGCAGAAATAACCAATACAATACAAAAAGGGTTGGAAGTCTTGGGTAAAGTGTTAGAGCATCTACTGGCAGAAGCCCTGAGTTCAAACCCCAGTAACACCAAAAAAAAAAAAAAAGTGTGTTAAAAATCAGATATAGGTAAAAAAATTCCTTTTTAGAAAAATCAGGTTATTCATTTGTATCTATTGTACCCATTAAACAAACAAGGAAACCTAAAACTCAGTCTTGAAGGTCTTCAAAGTGATAAATGGTAAACCCAAAAGTATAATTAAAATTTTAGTGCCTGATCAATCAATTCATATTGAAAAATCATTTTCTAGACAGCTATTTTTCTCTTTTTCCCATTTTTATTAAGATATATTTGTTGTACGGGGGGACTCATTGTGCCAATTCCAAATAGCCTTATATTGTACACTGATTAGATTGCCCCTCACCATCCCCCCACAACCCCTTCTCCGCCCCATTTGAAGCAATTTCAAGAAGTTTCTTTGTTCTGTTTAGTGTAAGTCCATCAATTATATTGCCCCTCGCGTTCATCTCCATTTACTCTCCCTGTCCCACAAGTATTCCCTCACACCGTGCCTATTTTACAGTCCTGTCTTTCAATATTAATTCCAAAGCCAGTGTTCAAAGGGGTTTCTTGATGTATCTCCACTGTGAGTTATACTTCACTTTGGTCAGTTCAATACCTTCCATTACTCTCCCTTCCTTCCATCCCACCCCCATTAATTAACAGCTTTCAATACATATCATGCATATGGTATATCCTCTACCTGCACCAATGTAATATATTTCGATACTGTTGACTATCATTCCCTTTTCCTTTTCCTCCTCCCCTGAGTTCTGTAGAGTGGTTCCACTATTACAAACATGTTCTACATATAAGTTTGTATATAATCATGTTTGTTTTGTGTATATGTTTGTCTTTTGGATCTGCCACATAGGAGAGAAAATGTGGCCTTTGTCTTTCTGAACCTGGCTTACTTTGATGTCCTCTCATTGTATCCGTTAACCTTTACACCACGGTTTCATTCTTCATTATGGCTGAATAAAACTATACACACACACACACACACACACACACACACATATGCTTGTGTCACATTTTCTTAATCCATTCATCAGTTGTAGGGCATCTGGGTTGTTTCTGTACCTTGGCTATTGTGAATAGTGATGCAATAAACATGGGGATGAAAGTGTTTCTATTGTATCCTGACTTGCATTCCTTCAGGTATATGCCCAGTAGTGGTATCACTGGATCATATGTCAGTTCTATTTTAATTTTTTGAGGGATCTCCATACTGCTTTCCATAATGGTTTAAATGATTATTTTTGTGTATGGAAATTTTTAAATTCCTAATTCTAGCTTTTGTGTGATCCAAAAAGTACAGATTGCTTTTAAATGTACTATGTTATTGAAATGTTTATCTTACTGTAAATTTTGTGACTCATCAGGTGATTCTGGACAAGGACTGAGAACGTGGATCAAGGAGGTTTTAAATCAAGATTTAACATTCCAACACATAAAAGTTATTTATCCAACAGCTCTTCCCAGGTATGCAACAATTTATCTCACTTCACAGTATAACCCCGAGACATAAAAAAAAATATGTTTATGTGCCAGCTGGATGTTTTTAAGCTCAATTGTATATTTAAGATATAACTTTAAATTAAGGTACTTTTCCCCCCTAGTATATATTCTTTATTTTGCAGTTAGACTCTTGGACCGCATTTTGCCAAGTGAGAAATTTCTGTCTCTATAAAACATACTCTACAATTCTGAATTTAAATCATGTCCTCACACTGCCTACTGGACTCTGCTTCCTCTGGCCCTGCAGCTTGCTCATCTTTGAAACCTTCTTCCTCTCACTCATCCCACAAGGAAACATAACAACAATGTCAGCAATGCAGTCTTTCTAATAATTTAGTTAAGCCAGAGTTCATAATCTCTGAAAAGAGTGTTTATGACATTCTTTCTACACTTAAAAGGATTGTTTAGAAATAATGTTGTGCTTTTTGAATCAGTAAACCAGAAACATGGAATTGATACTCAATACATATTAAGATTATATAACCCGTAGGTATGTTTAACAGAATTCACAATAGGACTGGTATACTTTTGAAGTCAGAAACTGCTTTTTATAAATATTAAGGTAGCATCCAGTCTTTTATTCTGAGCATATGCTTTAAATGAGTTGAAAATATTTTTTTGTATAAGCAAAATAATGCAGTGATCTGTACAACCCAATCTGATTTCTTAATACAGTTCTTGATTTATTTTTATTAAGTACACTATATGCTTTTACAAATACTTTGCTTTATTTTTCTGTTAATTTAGTGTTAAGGAGAAAAGAGTCAGGATTTCCAGTCTTTTTATATTCGCTAAAAATTTACCTACCTAGTTGATAGAATTGAAAGAGGAAAAATGATAATGTAAGATTGAAGCTTCCAAAAAGTTATTGTTTTAATACAACAAAGAGTCTAAAAGTTTGGTAGTTCAGACAAAAGACCTGCTTGACCAATAGGTAATTTTTGTACTATAAATCATATGTCTTTGAAATTGTCAAAAGTGTTTATTTTTTATTGGCTTTTAGGATAGATAAAATTGAGAAGGAATGCTGGTATTTCTACATTGATGGGAAAGATAAGTGCATTTCAGTAAATTATACATCATAAGAAGACCACTGGAGACATGGTTCTAGGAATTAATATTCATTCTTTGAGTTTTGATTGTCATCAACTATCATGATATGAATTCTAGATTGGTGTTTCTTAAACTTTAGGCTGAAAATACTTCAAAGTCCAAATATTTCCATATGCATTAAGTATTATTTGTGGATGCTGTTGTGATTTAGTAAAATATAAATCACTGAATGATTCACTTGAATTCCTAGTGTCTTTTTACTTTGTTGTCATAATCAGTGCTTCTTGGATAGATCATAAGACATTTTAGAGCATACTGACCAACAGAAATTTAATATGCACTACATTAATAAATGTAAGCTTTCATTGGTACCACATTTTTAAAAAGAGGAAGAAACAGGTAAAACTCATGTTAGTAATTTCTTTCACCCAATATATCCAAAATATTTCAACATGTAATCAAAATAAATATATATATTGAAGTGGTATTTTACATTCATACTAAAACTTTGAAGTTTGTCTTACATATACAGATATCTTAATTTGTATGCTAATGAAATGATGGAATTTAAATTAATATTAGAAATTCAGTCCTCAGTTACACTTAGCTGCATTTTACACATAAGTGTAATTGCATGTGGCTGGGGGCTACCATTTTGGACAGCGTAATTTTAGACATTAAAAAGGAGGTGTTCCCACAGAGATAGTTGAGCCTCTGTTCTAGATCAACCATCATTTTTAGGGAAATGGATGCAGGTAAAAAGTAAAAGCAGTTAAGCTTTCATTAGCTCAGGTACTCACTGTTAAGAGTAGTTCCAGGCAGGTACTCTCCCACCACCATTGAAAGTTGGATTTCTTTCATATCTACCTGAACACTTTCCATTCTCATTTTTCATTCTGTTTTTAATTTATGGTCAACCTCATGGATGTGGGATGTGTAGTGGCCTCTCCTTTTACTTTTAAATTATATTTCCCTAATACTAGTTATGTTGGGCACTCTTTCCGTCCAGTGTAATCTTAGAGGGAAAGTATTTAGTATCAATTATAGGGTGGTTTTGTAAGTACTTTTTGCCGTACTGCAAACATTTTTTCTTTGTGTGATCTATTAAGCAACATCCCTTCAAATTGTTTGCCGTTGGTTTTAGATGGTTGTCTTTTCTAATTGTTTTGTTATAGCTCTGTATTTTGGGGGGTACAGTTTGTTGTTATAGATATGAATTCATTATCTTCTGCCTTACCTGTGATTTACATCTTTACTCTCTTAATGATATCGTGTGGACCTAAGTCTTACTAAATTTCTTTAAAAGAATAACACAGTGAAATACAAAAATTTTGAGTGTATACATAGTTCAGTGAATTTTAATAAACTTATGTGCCTGTTTACCTCAGTTAAGACAGAAAACAGGAGCCAAGCATCGTAGTACATGCTCGTAACTCCAGTTAAGACAGAAAACAGGAGCCAAGCATCGTAGTACATGCTCGTAACTCCAGCACTCTGGAAACTGAGGCAAGATCATGAGTGTGTGGCCACACTGGGCTACATAGTGAGACCCTGTCTCAACAACAACAGATAGAGATGTTTTCTTATACTTCCTCACAGTCCATTTCTATCTCCTACACCGCACTGTTCTGATGTCTATTGCTAGGCATCTTTTTCCTGTTCGTGAATTTCAGTTACATAGAATAATTTAACCTTTGCTTCTGTGTTTTTTCTCTAGACTTAGTGTTCTTGAGGCTCTTCCCTATGTGTGTATCCACAGTCCCTTTTTAAAATGCCATGTAGATATTATGTATGAGTTTGATTTCTTTCATAGACCCAAGATACTCAGACTTCTTTTTATTTTTGAGTCACTGTTGATGATTTGGATTCATCATAGAATTTATATTTTTATCTAATATGTCAAATATCTTGAGAAAGTTTTTTATATTTCTTTTTAGTGCTTTACCGGTGTATGTTGATGTCTTTGATTGCATTTCTGATAGTAATATTTTATATCTTTTCCTTTTGGTCATTTGCCAAGGGGTTATCAATATTCATCTTTTTATAGAACACATTCCTGCTTTATTATTTTCTCTCCTTATTTTTCTATTTCATTTATATGTATTTTTATATTTCTTATTTCCTCCTATTTATATTAAGGCTATAAATTTCTCGCTAATCTCTTTAGCTAAATCTCACTAATTTCTTTTCTTTTGTCTCCTTCATGTTTCCAGTATTATTTTTATGTAACAAACTGCTGCAAACAACAGTTTTACAAATGATCCTAAATTTTGTGGTGACTTGATTCTGTTCCGTTGTTTTTAGGGCCTCTCATGGGACACTTGAAGGCTGTTGTGACTCATGACTTGACTGCTGGGGTCTGGATCCATCAGCAGAGGGAAGGCTTACTCACATATCTGGCATTAATAGTAGATATTATTAGCTGGATATTATTATTTAGTCTTATTACTGTAATACCTATGTGAGGCTTTACAATATAGAGGCGTGGGTTTCCTGGTTGCATAGAGGTTGGGTTCCAAAAGCATATGTCCTCAGAGAACAAGGAAAAGTACAGTTACATTGCTTTGTTTTTTTCTTAGTTAGAAGGCTACTCAGATTCGAGGGAAGAGAATATAGACCTCTACTTCTGGGCAAAGTATCAGAGTACATTTTAAGAAAAGCTTACGGCCTCACTCTCCTGGTAGAAAATATAATTATGGGGCCTTTTTACCCACAGGTTATATAGAAATATGTTGGTAATTTCCAGATACTTAGAGTGGCTTTAGATATCTTACTACTGCTGCTGACTTCTAATTTCATTCCATTGTTTTCAAATAAAATATCTTACACAATTTCAGTCTTTTTATACTCATTGAGACTTACTTTTATGGCATTGGAATGGTCTATGTTGCTGACTGTTGTGCATTTTTATGTATAGAGTTCTGTAAATGTAAATTACTCAACGTGGTTGATAGTATTACTCATAATATACTATATATTAAATAAACTATATGCTTGGTAATTATTTTTAAATGGTTCTGTGAGTTATCAAAGGGATTTTAAATTTCCCACTGTGACTGTAAATCAATCAGTTTCTCCATTTAGTTCTGTCAGCTTTCTCTTAATGTACTTTTGGGCCAAATTATTAGGTGGGACTATTTTTTTCATCAGTAGCTACTTTTACAAAATGGTTATTACTGATTTCTGGTAATAACCCTGAAGTGTAATTTGTTTAGTAATCATAGTATACATCAGCTTTTCTATGCTTGTTTTATATCTTTTTTCCACCCTTTTGCTTTCTTTTGACTAGTATTGCATAGTGTGTCTTTTTGGGTCCTTTTTTTTTTAACCTACCTATATCAGTTATATTCAAAATGTGTTTCTTATAGACATGTAGTTGGGCTCCATTTTTTTATTTAGCCAAAATTGTAGTTTATGTCTTTAAGTGATTTGTTTAAGCCCTTTACATTTAATGTAGCATTGAACTGCTGTTTGAATTTAAGTCTACTGCTTTTTCCCTCTGTATATTCCATTTTCCCCTTTTGTAAATTATTTGAACTTTTTAGTATATAAGTTTAGTTCTTTTCCCCCCAATTTTTCTAGCGTACAGTACACATAGCAAACCTTTCCTCATCTTAGAATTTTTTTAACCACTTACTAAACTATGTTATATTTGTGTATATTACATAGTTTAATAAGCCTTAAATTACACAGGTCCCTTTCTCCTCCTCCTTTATGTTATAATTGTCATTTGTGTATTCCATTTACATATGGTGAAAACTCCACCAAACAAGGTTATAATTCTGTTTTTAACAGTCATACCTATTTTAAAGAACATAAAAGGAGAACTGTAGCCTATTATGTTTATTCAGTTGTGTCTATAACAGCATATTGTTAGGTTTTGATTAAATTGTGAATTACCATTTTGGTTA